CCGCGCCGCCTCGACGCCGTCGCCGCCCCGCTCCGCACTCGCCGTCTCCTTCGCCGTCACCGTCGCCGCCCCACTCCGCACCTCGCCGTCGCCGTCGCCGCCCCGCTCCGCACCTCGCCGTCGCCTTCGCCGTCGCCGTCGCCGGCCGTACGTGAGCACCTCGCCGGCCGTCACCGTCATTTTTTTGTTAGATTTAATTAGATTCTTTTTGTTAGGTTAGATGTGTAGTAATTTAGATATATGTAGTTCATAGATTTTGTTGTTAGATTAGATTTTTTTTGGTTAGATTAGATGTGTAGTAATTAATTTGTTTATATTATGTTAGATTTTTTGTTAGATTTAATTAGATTTTTTTTTAGGTTAGATGTGTAGTAATTTAGATATATGTAGTTCATAGATTTTGTTGTTAGATTAGATTTTTTTTTTGGTTAGATTCGATGTGTAGTAATTAATTTGTTTATATTATGTTAGATTTTTTTGTTAGATTAATTAGATTTTTTTTTGTTAGATTAGATGTGTGTAGTAATTTAGATATGTAGTTCATAGTTTTTTTTGTTAGATTAGATTTTTTTTGTTAGATTAGATGTGTAGTAATTAATTTGTTTATATTATGTTCGATTTTTTTGTTCATAGTATTTAGAAAAAGGAAAAAAATAAGAAGTAGTTTATATATAGTTGAACTAGCTAGTTGATTTAATAAACTAATTTATTTTACTATATATAGAAGTAGTTTGTTTTTAGTAAGTACTACTTATTTATTTATAGTAAGTGCTTAGTAGTTGAACTAGATAGTTGATTTAATTAATGAAACTACTTTTATTTAACTATATATAGAAGTAGTTGCCGCATCGACGTCGGCGATGCCTATCCCGCATCCTCGTCGTCGTCGACTCGGCGGTGGAGGCCTGCTTGATCAGGGCAATGTTCGGGACTGGGCTCCGCCGGGCTGGTATTAGGAGGTGCTACCTTCCGGGGGACGTAGGTTGGTGAGGAGGCAGCCCGTTGTTGACCCGATCCTTGTTTGGTAGCGGTCGCGTGGGCCAGTGACGGTGGTGAGGCATCCGGACACCGCGGAGGTGGTACGTCACCGTGTCAGCGAGGAGGACGAGCACGTCCGTCGCTACATGGTTGCATTGGAGGGCAGATTCGACAATACCTGGCAGGTTCTTCAGGGATCTCACTGGAGCTATGATCCTGTGATGGTTCCTTATCTTTGCGTGTCCACCGCTCGCGTCGATACCCGTCGGGCGCTACGGTTCTAGTTGTATTAGTGATAATATTCGACGATGTACGGACACCAAGAGATGATGTACTTTTGCTTATAATTATTGAATGCATGCTAATTTGAATACTATATTTTATTTTATGATATGGTTTTGCTTATTTTATGATTTGGTTTTGCTTATTGAATGCTCATATTGGATAAGTTCTCCTTCATTCCCGTGTGCTAGATAATTTGATATAATAATGCATTCGGGAATGAAAGGAGGAGCTACGTACATCGATCATCGATAGTCAACCCATGATTAATAATAATGATCTAGTTTAATATTTAAATTATGAACGTAGGCCGGAAATGTCGTACTCATCGGACGACGAAAACCACCCGGGGGAGTGCGACTGGTGGCACGACGACCGAGGTATCTGCGACAGGTTCATTGTGCTGGACGAAGATCGTCGCTTCAGCATTAAGCTCGAGGAGACCTTCGATGTTCATACGGTACGCAACCGACGATAAAAGTTTTTTTTTGTAATTACTCATGACTTCAACTATTTTAATCATGCCAATATTTTTCATCTTTTCCAATTCGACTAGCTTATCCCATGCTTTGCAAGACGCTATGTCTTGGAGAGGATGGGTTTTGAAGACCATGAAAGTTTCGAAACCAAAAAAATTATCCTAAGTACCCATCATGGTGTGGATTTTCAAGTAAAGCTATACAATGCTCAGAGTGTAACCCATTTTGGTTGCAAAAATTGGGAAGCACTTTGCAAGATGTATGGTTTTGATGAGGGTATGCTTGTTACCATGGATCTTGGTGATCCTACAATCGAGCAAGAGAGACCTACGATTTTCGTCCGTGTGGATACACCTCCAATTCTTCCCCCATGTGAGCTTAACATAGTTATTAAGTAATTTATATTTTTTATTTCAAAATAGTTGACAACTTATTCTCCATTGACAGCTTATTTTCAATCTTCAACGAATGTGCGGAAGATGGTAGACATAACCTACTACACCGAAGGCTCCGAACTAACTTATCAGGAGAAAAATCATCTGGTCGCATTTTGTACTGATCTTGAGAATTACAATGTCTACAATCGAACTCCTCAACATTATGGTCAATACGTGCCACTAGTGCACGTGTTGAACTACGGTAACTACCATGGAGATACCCTGGTAAGATTTTTGTACTATTACAACATCCGTGCATCTTTTTGCACACTTCTAAAACTATGGTACATCATATCATTGCTAACTACGAAGTTATTACTATGTTTTTCAACAGATAATCCCGAATGATTGTGTGCCTAATCTGATGTATACGGTAGCCTTCATGTTTTGAACATACAACCAGGTTGTCCTACGAATCTCAACTGTCCATACCGGGTTTCTAAAATAAGTGGAGACATGAGAATCAAAGAATGGAAAAAATGTATGGACAGTCGTAAGGAGCTTCTTGGAAGGAACATTCAGCGAAGGGCAAAAATTGGAGACAGGATGATCGCCATTCTTCATAATGGAGAGTCAGGGTCTATATTGTTTTATGCTATTTTACCTTAAGGGTGTTTAGGTCCTACCTGATACTGATGATCATGTGTTAAGAACAATTATGTAGGGTTGGGTTCGATGACTATGAGGATGATGATCGTATGACTTATTATTAATAACGAGTTGAAGTTGTATGATGATGCATGATTAGTAGGACGAGTACTTGTTATTATATATGCTGATGTATGCGAGCATGCATGAGTTATTATATCAGCGGGTAAAATGAACATATATAGCAGCAGCGTTGGTAAACCAAGGACGAAGATATAAGAGAGGACACTTCTCTCTATTAGCTAGCTAATATAACAACCTAAAAATAACCCCCAAAACCCCTAAAGCAGCCAATTTCCAAAAAAACATGGACTTTTGGTCCCGATTGGTGCCACCAACCGGGACCAAAGGCCCCCTGACTGGGCTCGGCGCACAGAGCCATGTGGAGGCACATTAGTCCCAGTTCTAGTTTGAACCGGGACTAATGGGTGGAGGTATTAGTAACAGCCCATTAGTCCCAGTTCATGAACCGGGACTAAAGGCCCTCACGAACCGGGACTATTAGGTGTTTTTCTACTAGTGCTTCACCGTCCAACAGTCCGGCCAAAGTATATCACTACAAGAAATATGTCAACTTGTGACTTGTGACCACCACTATTGGTCACTGAAAGGTCATGGTTTTTCATTTGCGACCTTTTTGTGACCAAAAACAGAAGGTCAAAAGCTGGCGGTCGTAAACTGACTATAGCGACCTTTCTTCTGGAATGGTCGAAGATGTTTATGACCAAAATATGTCCACTGTGGCGTTTTAGTCACTAGCAACCTCCCCAGGCCACGTAGGCTTCCAGTGTGGCAAGATGATGTGGCACAAGATTCAGCCCGGTCCAATTCGGTTTTCTACATGGGCCTAGCCCAACAATTCGGCCTTTCTATATTTTTTTCCTGTGCTTTTATTAGCTACATGGGCGTGGCCCAATAATTCGGCCTTTTATTTTCTAGGCCATGGCCTTTTTTATTTTATTTTTACCAAAAGATGAGCCCACTAGTGAGATGGGACCCAGTTGACATGTTCTAACAAGTGGGTCCCAGATGTCACTGTTATATTCTTCAGATCTCAATTTTCCAGTAAATAAATAGCAATATTTAAATCCAAACAAAGAGAAAACAAAATGCTTCAAACAGAGTACGACTAATCAGGAAAAATATGGTACACATCACGAATACAATCAGAAAGAGTCAAACTTGGCACATTATTACAATCAAACTTATTCATCCTGGTAACACAGCAAGGATGGTTCATCCTGGTAACACATTATTACAGAAAAATATGGTTCACATCAAGTTTACAATAAAAAAAATGTTCACATCAGGTAACACAACTACCACAGTATAACTAGCTCCAATGCTTCTCCCAACTTGTTCATCCTGGACCTCACGACAAAACATGAATGAAGGCCAGCATCTGCAAGTTATCAGGAAAAATGGCTAGAACAAGCAAAATGCGACATTTTTACCATTTAAGCATAGAAGAACAGGGTCAACAACATTTCGATCTTTGAAAATGAACCAGGATTTCAACAGGAAGTGGGGAGAGCTGGGTGGGAGCAATTGCCGGGGATTTCAGAGGATTGGTATTATTGTCTATCGGGAGACAGCTACCTTCCTCGGGCTGTGTTGAGGAAGCTGAGGCAAGGGTGGCTCTGATTGGCATGTATGCATTGGCCGATGTGTACACGGGGGCGGTGGAGTTGGCGATGGATTGTAAAGCGATTATTAAAGAATTAAACTCCGATGGCCCCTGTCGATCCCCTTGCTGTGGGTTGATCTGTTTGCAGATTACAAGAGTGCTCTTTTGCTGGAAGAGAGTGCAACGTCATGGCCCATGAGCTTGCAGCTGAATCAAAACAGAAGGGCGACCTGCGAATTATTGCTGGTATTCCAGATAGATTGTGCAATTTGATGCTCACGGATGGTAACCCTACCTCTTGAGCAATTCTTTACTCTTGATTCTCAGAAAAAAAGGTGTGTGTACCTTTTCTGATTCTAAATCATTGTTCTTAATGCCTTAAACACTCGTGACTCACGTCATGTTTATGCAAATAATCTCATAGATAGCTTAGGTTATAATAAAAGTATATTTAGTAACTACTCATGGATCCGTATGTAGTTTGTATTGGAATCTCTAAAACGACTTATATTTAGGAACGGAGGAAGTATTTACTTACTTGTCCAGTATCTTTTCAATTGTGAGTACTCCATAAAACCATGTCTACTGATTTTCTGATGACCATATCTATATTCAACTTTTACTTAAAAAATGTTTTAAATAACTCCCGGGCAGTGCGGAGGTTACCATCTAGTTATATTAAGCAAGAGTTAATTGCAAGAGTAGTAATTATTAAACGTCAAACCACACAAGTCCTGGAGTCATATATTGAGCCTGATGCTAGCTAAGCCTGGTTCACGAAGAGAAAGCCAAGGGACCATAGTCAACTATGCAATCATTATGCATTGCCAAATAAGACGTATAAAATGCATATGTGGTTATTATATTGCAATCATTCACCATAAGACTACACTACTAGGCTCAATACAACCACGATGCATGCCAGAGGTACAACTCAACACAATGTCCTCCTTGCGTTTACATGCGTAAATTTCAAATAAGTCATGTGGGAATACTACAAGATTCCTGTGATGTAAAGCCACAAATCACTAATTTTTTCCTTACTGTTTGAGCCATGACGTAAATGTGCTCTGCAGCCTCTCCGAGGAACGCACAACCCATAGTTTCAGGAAATCTTTGGCTACCTGCATCCACTGCACTTTCCTCATCTGCTCCTGCTTCATCTGAAGAAGTGTCTTACTATTCTTGTTCCTACCTTGTCGTGTGGCGGCTTTGCGTGCTCTGGGAATTCTTGTTGTTCTTGTCTTCTCCACACATAGGTGTGCACTGCCATGGTTGGACCTCCATACTATCTGATAGGTCGCAGTCTCGGTGTTATGGTGAAGATAATCTATCGCCTTGGGCAGCAATATCTCATCAAGTTGGTCAGGATGAACATTTGCATGTGTGAGATGTTGCTTCTCTCCATCGATCACCTCTATCGCAGAGCCCTCGCCGGTGGACTTGGGGTTCTCCAGAGAATCATGAGGCATGAACAGAATTCCCAGCTTCAGAAGTGGGGTATTCTCCAGAGAAGAAAAATCATATCCCGCAGTTGATCCCTGTAGGTTCTTATAGTCGAGTAGAGAGATTTGACGCTGCAAAAATACTTCACATACTGGTTCTGGAAATATGCTTGAAAGTCTCACTTTGTTCCCGCAGTTACCGACATGAGAAGGCACGACCTCCTGTTTGTATCCTTGACAACATAATGGATCTGGACGGAACCATCCAGTAAAAGTTTTGTGGATCTGGTTCCAGTGTTCCATGTTTGCGCTCTCAGCCTCTGGTGGTAAACATGAAAAATCTTGGGTAGGGAGTTGGATGATACCTTTGATCACAGCGTCGGCCGTGGACTTGAAGTGAGGTGTCACCAGTTGCAAGCACTTGACTGTAGTTCCGATAATGTCCGTACTCTCTGAAAGACGCAGCATGAACCCAAGACCAAAACTGTTCTTGGGAACCTTGAAATCTTCATATATGAAGGATAGCATGGCCTCCAGTCCACGCTCCTCGAAGGCCATAGGACGAATGCCGAAGTATTGATACTGGCCTCCCGGGTGCATCACCATATACCGCAGCGTTTTGCCTGTGAAGACATGCCTGATGAGAGGGTCGAAGAACAGGGGCTGTCGAGGTGTTCCACCGAGCTGCACACATTGAATGAACTCCGTAGCACCATCAGCAAACCTCTCGAATCTTCGAACGGCGGCGGCGATGCTGCCTGAGCAATGATCACCTTCACAGCCAATAAATGAGGAGACAAATGCCTTGGTCGCATGAGCGACCCGTATAGCAAACGAAGATTTGCTTAGCACCTGCTCTGCCTCATCTTCTTCCAGAGAGAGCTCCCAACATCTGCGAGCTACGTCGTTGCATTCCTGGGCAACACACTTCAGCTTCTTACGCCAATGAAGTAGTGACACATCGGTGATCTGCCACTTGTCAGACATCTCGAGTGCAGCCTCCATTTTTATGTGTGCCATCTCCAGCCTCTCTAGGCCACCTCCTCCGGTGGCTTCATCTGATTTATCCTCGTCTTCCCTGTTGGTTATGCCAGAAAAAATCTGGCTAATTGTCTCCCCAACAATGGCAGAACTGATGATCTTGGCCATTGATTACAAGAGATTGGCCCTGCGCTGCTCACGAAATGGAGCAACATTAGATTTGGTACCCCACCATATGATCCATTATGGCAACTAGACAAAAAAATGGTGAGTAGCTAATTTTTAAAGGGAGCTAGCCTGCCGACACTTCTATAAAGAAAAGGCTTTGGTGTCGCTTAGGGTACTGAGGCTGAGGCTCTGGTTCTTGAGTATGCATGGATGAATAAACACAGAGAAGGATGATTAGATATGGTGAGTCATGAAATTGATCTTATTAAAGGCTATGTTCGCTTAAACCTCTCTTGGAATGGATTGGATAAGTTTGGAGGGGATTAAGGTGAATTTTGACTTATAGGGGATTTAATCCTCCCCAATCCTCTTCAAAACTCTTGCAACTGAACAAGCCCTAAGAGATTATACTTCCACGTCAAAAAAGAGAGATGGTACTTGACTTTAATGAAGGTTTAACAAGTCTTACTCATCTCGAATATCACAGAACACTAGAATAGAAAGCCTTTAACGGGCCAAAAGCTCTCCTGATGGACACATTTCTAGAATTATCATATAGCATTCCAGTGATAATCATCTATTAAGCTGATTATCGACAGATCTCACTTAAGGTATTTTTTTAGCATGAACTCATTTTCAGTGTTCTAGTACGCAAAACAGAACATGTTTTTGCTAACCGTTTGTTTTAAACATACACGAGCAAAACATGAATTCTGTCTACATACTACATCTTAAAACAAGGAGGTTTATGCATCTTTAGTTTTGTACATACTAGGACCGCAGAATGCAGACTTACAACAGAACCATTTTCTAAGAGCTTCATAAGTCTTCTTTTTGAAAAAAAAGAGCTCCATAAATCTGTACTCACTAGTACGATGCTATGCAAAATCTGTATTTTTCATCTCCAGGGCGCAAAATCTGGGAGTAAAACTTGCACATAATAGTGGTGAAACGAAAATATGTGTCGATGAATATTGAATGGATACCTGATGATGCTTCAATTGTTGCTCGCTGTGATGATGGATGGAATTCTGGCTCTACTTTTTCTTGCACGTATCTTCTTGTGTCTTGCCGTCGGTACCTAGTTTTGTTGTTTTTTCTGAATGTTCGTCTACTGCTGTTGCTCTCCCCTGGCTCTCGTTTCTGTCGCTCCTATTACTATTACTTGCTTTCCTTGGGTATGGTAAGTCAGGCGAGGTGCTGAGATATTTAAGGTAGCTGGTGTTTGGCTTCCTTGACCAGGATGTCCTTCCCTGACAAACTTGGACAGTGACATTTTTTGTTTGAATTTACTTGGACTTTGACTCTTTTTTTCAATTTACTTGGACTTTGACTTTTTTGTTTGAATTTACTCAGACTTTGACCTTTTTTGTTTGAATTTACTTGGACTCTGACTGTTTTGTTTGAATTTACTTGGAATGACTTTTTTTTGTTTGAATTTACTTGGATAGTGAACTTGGAGCTAGTCCTTTCGGTGTACCGGCGACTTCATTTCCTCTTTCTTTCTTTTTCTGTTTCTGCTAGTTTTTTTTCCTTTATTTCTCTTTCTTCCCTAGGTTCCTGGTGGATTTTTGCATTTCTTTATTTTTCTTCTGATATGATATGCTTGACAATCTTTGTCTTTATTGGAGTGATTCAGTACCTGAATTTTTTAATGTTGTTGATCGCCGGCAAGAGATATGGTATCATAGCCTGGCTGTAGTTTGGGTCAAAATCTAGAGGAGGTAGATGGCCCTGATTATAATTCTCTTCGCGATGGGTCGTTTCTGTATGTCTGTGGATTCAGTTATCCCATTTTCAGTCGTGCCGACATTTATTGTTGTATCTAGTATGAAAATATTTAATTTAATTTAAAAGCAGCCAAACTGTCAAAAAGGTGGGCGGAACCGACCTCAGTGGGTGGGGCCTCAAGTCATGATTTACTATAGTAGGAGTATAAATTCACATGTAGGTTGGGGACGTGTGATTCGGAGGCTTCAAGTCAAGTCGCGGAACCTAGTCCAGATTCTCTCTCAATCAAAAGAGCAAAAGTTATCTAGTGGGTCCGGATTGGATTGTGAACCTAGCGCTTTCATGTAGTACAGTGCTTTTGCAGCCAGGGTTAAAATATTGAGATCCGAAGCCATGTCGCAGCCAGGGTTAAAATATTGAGATCCGAAGCCGTTTCTCTCCGTAAGCAAGTGTGGAACGTTCAAAGTCGTCTCTCTCCCCTTTCACACGGAAGCTAGGATTACTCACATTTCAATAATATACCGATCATTGTCATTAATATTATTGCCACCAACTGGTCAGCAAGATATCGACGCTTTTCTACGAACAAAGAATGTACTCTCTCCGTTTTTATTTAGTTTGCATATTAGCTTTGGTCAAAGTCAAGCTTTACAAACTTTGACCAAGCTTATAAACAAAAGAGAAAAATACGTTTTTCGTCCCTCAAGTTCACCGAAAGTCTACATTTGGTCCCTCAAGAATTTTTGGAAGACATTTGGTCCCTCAAGTCTCAAAACCGGATAACTTTGGTCCAAAACCAGATTTTACTGAAAACCATCAATGATGTGGCGTGGTTTTGACAAAAAAGACACGTGACGGCCCACCACATCATCATCTTCCTCTCTTCTTTTTGTTCCCTCCCTATCTCAGGAGGCATTTTGTCAAACACATAACGTGCAGCTATAACCTCCGTTTTTCCCGTGGCACACCATGCCCACACCACAATGACCAACTCAACCCTCACATCGCTATGGCCTCGCCGCCCAGCTGGTCCCTGTCCACCTGCTCTACATCGAGGAGCCGCCGTCATAGTCACATGCTGCATCGAGGAGCAGCCGCTGCACGCAGCTGCTCATGCCGAGTAGTTGTCGCCGTTCACTTGCATGGAGAAGGTCTTGGGACCGAGCTCAAGACAGAAGAAGTGCAGCTCGGGACGATGGAAGCAGAGCCCACATTTGGCCACCGGCTTAGATGGATGCGGGCCATGGCAGGTGACGGGGAGGAGGTACAACAAGTTGGTGACGACTGGTCGGGGAGACACTAGGGGCCGAGTGGGGGAAGCAGGAGGTCGAGGAGAGGTGTGAGAGGCTGGAGGCCGACGGACGCCGCGTCACAGCTCGGGATCTGGTGGATTCGGGGGACGGGGCGGTGGTGGGTGAGTCGGGGCGCGATGGTGGCGGGATAACGCAGATCTGGCGACTGGTGAGGTGGAAGGTTGTGGTGCAGCATCGTGGGAGGCAACAGAGCAATGGGGAGCGCAGCGTCGGGGGAGGTGGCTCGCCAAACCAGACCAGTTTTGCACTCAAATCCGGTTTTGGACCAAACTTGCCCGGCTTTGAGACTTGAGGGACCAAATGTGTCCCAAAAATTCTTAAGGGACCAGATGTAGACTTTCGGTGAACTTGAGGGACGGAAAACATACTTTTCTCTAAACAAAAATATTAAGATATACAATAACAAATCAACAATACTAGATTTATTATTGAATGTACTTTCACATCGTATAGATTTATTATGATAAATGTCTATATTGTTTTTTATAAACTTGATCAAACTTTACGAAGTTTGACTTCAGTCAACTCTAATATGCAAAGTAAATAAAAACATAGGGAGTATATAGAACTAAACCACCAAGGACTAGTCTTGGTAGGTCTTAATTGTTTTTTATTTCTCCCAATGGGCAGCACCGAACTCCTTGAGCGCGAGGTGCGTGCTTGCTGGGCTCTACCAATCTAGTTCCTTCCGATTATTTTATTTAGAGGTAATATCAGGGGAGTCATAGAACTTACGCTAAATGTTTAATAATGTACCGATCACTGTCATCAATATTATTATCCATGAACTAGGCAATATCGACGCTTTTCTATGGGCGCTTTCCTATCGCGCCTAGGCGGCAGTCGCCTGAAAACCAAAAAAGGTTCAGTCGATTCTCCTGCTCCTATCTCAACCGTTCTATCAAAGATCAAACGGACAACGCTTCGTCTTCAACCTTCAATCCACCTCTTGTTCATCTTCTTCCTTCGAACCGCCGAGCTACCGCTGTCCTAACCGCCTACTGCCGCCGCCCGCGGTCGGCAGCGCTCCCGCGTCAACCTTGCCACCCCTCCCCCCAGTCGCCAACCACCGCTGTGCTGCTCCCCTACCGCGGCAATGATCCATTTTTTTAGGTGAACATGCAGCCCCACCGGCCCCCCAACACTCCTAAGATAGATCATGGGGCACCCTACCACCCTAAAATAGAGCATGGGGTAGCTTCTCTGGTGAGCGGCGGCCGCTTCTTCCTTCCCTCCGGCAGTTGCCTCCTCATACGAAAATCGACCGATCCAAATTCTATTTTCGGGCGACTTACATTTAGCTATTGTGATTAAGGTTGACTGCTAGCTGGCTCAAAGTTTAGCAATCCATATAAATTATGTTTTAAGAGAATTAGTTAACTTAGGGTGCGTTGCTGACGAACTTTGTTTTGTTGGCCTCCTACCGGTGTGAGGCGCCGTCATGGCTGTAGCTCGCACCGCGTACCGAGTGCTCCTATTTCCCCCAAATGAGAAATGAGCAGCACTCCGGCGGCTAGCGGATAATGTGTGGCGCAGCCCACCAGCACTCGAGTTCGAGTTTTGTGTTTCTTCTATAAAACTAAACCACCAAGGACTAGTCTTGGTAGGTCTCATTTTTTAATTTTTTTTAGAGAAAAGGCTAGAGCCCGAGTTTATAAATAAAGCGACATGGCAGCGTCACAGGAAACCGAACAGTAGCGAAACCAGCTAACAAGACAACGCACAGAGTGCACGGAGCTAATAGTTTGAGAGAAACCAAAGAAGGAAGGATACAGGCAACTGCCGTACACGGCGCGCAGGCCGGAAAGGAGAGAGACCTAAACTCCGCAAACAGCACCACCAGGATTAGACGACGGGATCTCGCCCGGAGATGAGAGATGCCGAAGCCCGAATTTTGACGATGAGCAGGTCCAGGGCATCCCGATCAACCTCCTTAGTCAACGATCTCCACTGCTGCAATAATATACATGATTTTAAAAGAACGTCAACAGGCTTAGATGGGAACATATGCTCAATAGTAAATTTGTTCCTGATGGTCCAAAGAGCCCAACATAAGGCTCCCACGCCGACCCAAAACACCCTCTTGGTGACCCCAACCAAAGCTTTGGCTAGGGTTCGAATATGGGAAAAAGAGGAGGGGTTCCAGGAAACCTGAAGCCAAGATCTGACACAACACCAAACCAACTTGGCCAGCACGCAATTGAAAAAGATGTGATCAGTGTTCTCCAAGGCCCCACAAAGATGACAAAACTCCGAACCAGGCCCATTGCGCTTTTTGATTTGGTCAGCAGCCGGAAGTCGACCACGAAAGGCTTTCCAAAGGAAAATTTTAATCTTAGGAGGGACTTTGGACTCCCAAGCGCAAGAGAATCTGGACGAAGGAGTACCACCGATAAGTCTAGAATAAAGCGACTTAACCGAAAATCTACCTGAGGCCGAATGAGGCCAAACCACAGAATCGACCGACTTCGAGAGCACGAGGAAGAGGGCAGAGAGACTTTGCCAATCTTCCAACTCTTCAGGAGACAGGGCCCGACGAAAAGCCAAATCCCAGTTATTAGCTACCACCTCCGCGATGGAGATATTCGGATTAGGACAATAAGAAAACAGAACCGGAAAGCTCGCAGCAAGGGGGGCATCCCCAGACCACCAGTCCAACCAAAAGCGAATAGCCATCCCATTACCAACATTAAATTTAACATGTTCCAGAAAGATCGGTCTGACTTTGACCAGGGATTTCCAAAATTGAGACCCGAGCCTGGCGGTGGCAAACAGTGGGTTGGAGTGTGGGAAGTATTTAGCCTTGAGAATCGAAAACCACAGCGAATCGGCCCCACTAGTCAAAATTTTCCACCGCCACTTGATAAGCAAGCAAATGTTCATTACCCGAGTATTAATAATACCTAACCCCTCAAGGTTTTTAGGCTTACACATATGTTGCCACTTGACCAGCCTATATTTCCGTTCGAAACCAGCATGCATGCCATCCGTAAGAAGATAAAAGCCCATAAGAAACATGGGGAGAGAGGATAAGCAGGAGTTAATTAGAGCAATTTTGCCAGCATTGGTATTGTATCTACCCCTCCAAGGAAGCACCCTGTTCCCCACTTTAGCTACCGCCGAAGCGAAATCTTTAGCATGGAGCACGCCAGGAGAAATAGGGAGTCCTAGATACTTGAAGGGAAAGGAACCCAAAGAACAGTTAAGAAGCCTGGCAACCCGCAACGCTTCGGCCCCATCCACACCCGTCACTAGGACCTCACTTTTAGCGAAATTAATCTTAAGACCCGAAACAGCTTCGAAACACAGCAGGATGAATTTCAGGTTAGCAATGCAGGCGTCATCCAACTCCACCAAGATAATAGTATCATCCGCATATTGCAAGTGGGAAACACTCCGGGAGTAAATGGGAGACCACAGGAGCAATGTGCCCACAGCGGGCCGCCCTGGAGAGCATGCACGAGAAGGCATCGGCCAAAAAATTAAAAAGAACAGGGGAAGCAGGATCCCCTTGGCGCAGGCCCCTACCATTTGCGAAGAAGTTGCTAACGAAACCATTAACCGAAACGGCAGTATGCCCACCCGAGACCAGCTGCATGATACGATGAACATAAGCACTGTCGAAACCTTTAGCAAGAAGGACCTGCTTGAGGAAGGGCCAGCTAACCGAGTCATAAGCTTTCTCAAAATCTAACTTAAGGATAATCGCTTTAGCTCTACGAGCGTGAAGATCGTGAACAATCTCATGAAGGGATAGGATACCATCGAGGATGAAACGCCCTTTGATGAAAGCAGATTGATAAGGACTAATAACTCTATGAGCAACCGGCGACAAACGATTCGCAAAGCCTTTAGCCGGGAATTTGGCAAAGTTGTTAATCAAAGCAATAGGCCGAAATTGGGAAATAACATCAGCACCCTTAACCTTGGGGATCAGGGATATCACTGCGTAGTTCAGGTGGGAGATATCGACAGTACCAAGACAAAAACCCTGGATAACATTACAAACCAGCTGTTTCAACTGGGGCCAAACTTTTCGAAAAAAAGGAATGGAGAAGCCGTCTGGCCCAGAAGCAGCATTGGGATTGGCAGTGTTAACAACATCCCAAATTTCCTGATCAGAAAGAGGAATCATCAAGCAGGCATTCTCCTCGGGTGAGATTTTAAGACCTAAGTTCCAAAGGGAAGGAGAGATACAGAAGCCCAATTGAGGTTTAGCCCCCAACAACGAAGAGAAAAAATCCACCACATGAGCCATAATAGTTGACTGCTCCGAAGATCGCACACCATTAATCAACAGGCTATTCATACTACAACGCCTACGCCTACCGTTCGCGATCGCAAAGAAATACGCTCTAGGGGAGTCACCTTTTAGAGTCCAGTTTAGAGTACCCCGCTAACGCCAATAAATCTCAGCCTGGTGGTGCAACTGCATTAAAGCGGCCTCAAGATTGTAACGAACCGCCCAACCATCGTCAGAAAGCCCAGTAGAGTCGGCCGCGCGATCCAGCGACAAAATCTGGTCCTCGAGGAAAGATTTGGTACGACGATCCTCCGCCGCACGATTACGAGACCAACCTCTGAGGAATTTACGCAGGGTATAGGAGCACGAGTGCCAATCATCCAGAGGCCCAAAAGAGCGAGCATTGGAGGAGAGAGAAATGGAAATCTTCGCTGCAACCATGTCAACAAAGCCATCCACAGACAGCCATGAGGCATCGAATTGAAATCTAGCCGGAGGCCTAAGGTTAATGGAACCGTCGTAAAGAATTAAGGCGGTATGATCAGAACCGGCATTTGGCGTTAAGAGAAGCCCTAGGGAGCAAGGAATCCCACCTGGGACAAAGGAAGACTCTATCAAACACTGATCTAATAGGACTAGCCTGATGATTGGACCATGTATAGCGGGCTCCCCCCGGGGAAGCTCACGAATAGCATTAGCACTAATGAAGTCGTTAAAGGCATTAGCTAGAGGCCAGGAGAAGATATCATTACTCTCATTTTTTATTTCTCCCGATGGGGAGCACCAAACTCCCTGAGCGCACGAGGGAGGTGTGTGCTTGCTGGGTTCCACCAGTCTAGTTCCTTCTGATTATTTGTTTTATCATTTCATTTCCTTGTTTCTCTTTCATTTTTTTCATTACACGGGGTTGATGCCGGCTATACCACTTATCTCTAATAAATTCTCCCTCCGTTCCTAAATTTATGACATTTTGGTAGTTCAAAATGTCATATATTTAGGAACGGGGGCAGTAAATTGCATTATAAGAAAGTTTCATCATATTTTGGTTGTTAAATTGATAATCTAGGGATACATGTGACCTTCTATAATAGGAAAAGGGGATTATGAAACTAGGCCACTTATCACTAGCTTTGTTCTAAACCGTTAAGCCAGGTGTTAAACCAGCTCAATAAAATCTCAGAGGAACACACAACCCATAGTTTTTCGAAAGCTCCAGCCACCTGCTTCCGTAATCGCACCTTTTGATCCTGGTGCACGTGCCGAAGCCCCTTGGTACTCTTATTGTTCCTGCCTTGTCATGTGTCTCTGTGGGCTCCAAGCATTCTTTCCATCCTTTTCTTCTCCAAGCACAGGTGCACACTGCCATGGTTAGTCCTCCAACATACTTCGTACGACATGGCCTTGGCATTATGATGAAGATAATCGATCGCCTTGGGTAGCAGCGCATCATCGAGTCGGTCAGAGCGAACATTTACATGTGGGAGGTGTGTTGACTATCTCTATGAGTCACTTCTATCACAGAACCGATATTGAGATGGGACGCGCTGCAAAAAAAAAAACCTGTGCAGACTGGCTCAGGAAATATGCTTGAAAATCTCAACTTGTTTGCGCTTCCATTGTCACTGCCACCGTGACAAGAAGGCACGATGGGGTGCATGCATCCTTGACAACATAATGGTTCTGGACGAAACCATCTGGTCAAAGTTCCATGAACGTGGGTCCAGGGATCATTTTGTGCAACATAGGAGATATCTCTTTGGTAACAACATCGACTGTAGACTTGAACTGAGGTGTCATAACTTGCAAGCACTTACTTTAGTTCCGATTATGTCTGTACTCTCAGAAAGACGCAGGGTGACCCCAAAAAGCTATTCTTGGGCACCTTGTAATCTTCGACTCTTCCTACACGAAGAATAGAATTGCCTCCGGCCCACCATCCTCGAAACCGACTGGCCGTATGATGATGTAGTGATACCAGACTCCCAGATGCAACACATGATACATCAGTGTTCTGTCTGCGAAGATGTTCCCGATGAGAGGGTTGAAGAACAGGGTGTTGTCATAGTGTCCCGCCGAGCTGCACAAATCTTATAAACTCACCAGCATCATTGGCAAATCTCTCTAATCTTTGACGGCTGCGGCTCTAGTTATTGAGAAGCGATCGCTGTCGCAGCCGACGAAAGAGGAGATGAACACCTTGGTCGCATGAGCCATCCGTCTACGAAACGAGGATTGCTTTATCACCTGCGCCGCTGCCTCTTATTCCCGTGAAAGTTTCCTGCATCTGCACGCTGCATCGTCGGTCTTGGGCAGCGTGATTCAGCTTCTTTCGCCAATGGGGCAGCAATATGTCGGTGGTTTGCCACCTGTCGGCTGTCGAATGTCTGGAGCGTGGCCTCCATTTTGATGCGCGCCATCTGCTGTCTCTCTAGGCAGCCAACTCATGCTTTTTCATCTGATTTGTCTTGGTTTTTTATGGTGCTCGCATGTGAGCTAACAACAGGTTAATCTTTGTGGTTTGCTGTCTTTTCCTATGGATGGAGACTGGTTAATGACCCAACTGTTGGAATAAGCCACGGAGTCTGGCGCGGTCGGGCTCGTTGAGTGCATGTGGGACGTGCGGGACACATTGGTGCGGTCAGCCTCGTCGGGTGCGCGCGAAACGTGCGAGATGCAGCGGCGTGGTCGTGTGTATGTTTAGGTTTAGATCGGACGCCGGTGCGTGCCACGTCCGTGTTTGGGTTGGTATCGCGTGTGTATGTGTCTAGGTCCAGGTCGGATGCTGGTATGTGGCCGCGTCCGAGTCGTGAGTCGCGCTGGGCAAGTTGCGAGGCCGTTGAACAGAGCCGCGCTCTGGACGTGCATGCATGTTGTGATCTGTTAGGGAAAGCCGCGTCGTACACGAGGTGTGCAGATCGTGGGCATAGTGCAGCGCGTCATGGGTGCGTGGGCTGGAGTGGGGAACGGTGGCGTGAGTGCGCCCGTGTATAAAGCTCCCTCCGTGTACTCTTGTGTGGCCGAGTCAACCAGTTGGAACAGAGAAATAGTATGCCCTACGTGCGGCTGGGTTCTTTATGTACTTGTGTTTAGCTCCTTCTTCTACCTCCGTGCAACAACGAGAGAGAGAGGGAGAGGGAGAGGGAGGGAGGGAGGGAGGGAGAGAGAGAGAGAGAGAGAGAGAGAGAGAGAGAAAGAAAGAGAGAGAGCTAGCTAGGCCCGTGGCAACAACATTTGGTATTTAGACCTACAGTTCGAGGCGATCACCGGTGGCCATGGTGGTCATCCCTCACGGCAGTGGTGGGGGGCGATGGCGTTGCAGCTGCCGCCACTGACGATGACGAACTAAACCGCCTTGGCGATCAAGGCGGAGGCTATCCTTGATGCCTAGGGGCTGTGGAGTGCGGTGGCTCCGGCGGAGGGCAAGGTGGACGACGTCGGGAAGAGCAAGACGGTGCGGGCGGCGATGTTGGGCGCGCTGCCGGAGGACTTGCTGATGGAGGTGGCGACGAAGCCAACCGCGAAGGAGGACTCCCTCAAGGTTCTTCGTCGGCACTGCGCGGCGAGTTCGATCGCCTGCGGCTAGACGACTACGCCGGGAAGGTCATCGGCATGGCGGCCAGGTACACGGTGCTCGGCTCGCTCGACGACGCGGTCATGGTGAAGAAGCTGCTCGACACCGTGCCAGACCGCCTGTAGGTCGCGGTGGTCGGAATCAAGCAATTCTGCAACGTGGAGGAGATGGCGTTCAAGGAGGCGCTCGGACGGCTCAAGGCATTCGAGAAGCGGACGCGGCGGCGCATGCAGGGCCGGCGGCGAGCGCATGGACGGGTAGCTAATGATGATGGCGGCATAGTGGGCGGCTCAGGAGCGACGGAAAGGCAAACGCGGCTTCGGCTACCACGACGCCGACGGCGCGTCGAGCACATCGTCGGGAAACGGAGGGAAGCGCCGTGGACGCTGCTACAAATACGTGGAGCATGAGCACTTCTAGCGCGAGTGCCCGCAGCTGAGGAAAGGACCGGCCGCGGAGCAGGCTCTCCTAGCCAACGCCAACATCGACGACTACGGACTCCTCTAGGCCGTGGCTTAGGGGGGGTGTTGTAATAAGCCATGACGTCTGGTGCCGTCGGGCTCGTCAGGCGCGTCGCGTGCGCATGGGACGTGCGGGACACAGCGGCAGGCGTGTGTGTGTGTGTGTGTGTGTGTGTGTATGTGTTCAGGTTTAGATCGGATGCTGGTGTGTGCCACGCCCATGTTCGGATTGGTATCGCGTGCGTATGTGTTTAGGTCTCACTACTAGGGAAAACCTTATACACAGCAGCTTAGCGGTAGCGCTGGACAAAATCATGCGCTACTGCTATTTAGTAGCAGCGCTTGTAAGTAAACCGCGCTATTGCTATAACTTTAGCAGTAGCGCGTACTAGCAAAAAGCGCTGCTGCTACGTTTGAATTGGGCGCACATGGCTAGCCCAACTTAGCAGTAGGGCGTATCCTCGCCCAGCGCTACTGCTATTCTCCTAGCTGTAGCGCTTTTCTCGCACCCGCGCTACTACTAACCCTACCTTATCCTCCCCACCCGGCCGACCCTCTCTCACTCCCTCTCCCTCTCAGTCACTCTCGCCCGCGCCGATACCCGTCGTCCGCCGCCGCCGCCGCCGTGGTTCGTCCTCCACCGAGGTACTCCCTCCTTCACTCCCTCCCTCCTCCCACCGCGCCCTCTTCCCTCCTCCTCCCACCGTGCCCTCCTCCCTCCGCCTCCGGCCG